TGATTCAGCAGGTCAGGGTTAGAACACAGGTATCTGCATTTGTAACAGGCCCTAGAGATGATTCCTACGAAATCGGTATCACACTTTATAAAATACACTTCGGAGGCTGAGGGTAGAAGCCGTTTGACCTTGAAACTTTAATAGCCTGGATGGGTGAGTTTCCATGGCTCATCTTTTTTTTTTTTTCTTTTTTTTGTGGTACGCGGGCCTCTCACTGCTGTGGCCTCTCCTGTTGCGGAGCACAGGCTCCGGACGCGCAGGCTCAGCGGCCATGGCTCATGGGCCCAGCCGCTCCGCGGCATGTGGGATCTTCCCGGACCGGGGTATGAACCCGTGTCCCCTGCATCGGCAGGCGGACTCTCAACCACTGCACCGCCAGGGAAGCCTCATGGCTCATCTTTTAACAGTAAAAGATAGGGATCTAAGCACTGATCATAAAATTCTAATTGAGGAAAATCATTCAAGAACAGCAGTGTAAGATAAGGTAAGTATGTATGTGCTAATTTGTGGAAATAAGTGCATCACTTATTAGAAGCACTTTACCAGAAATAAATAAAAATATAAATAAATAAAAATAGAAAAAGGAACTCCATTAAATAGAGCCTATCAACCTTTCAAGTTAGTAAACTTGAGCTTCTTTACCAAGGGAAATGAATACTTAGAGACCAGGACCTAACACGAAAAGAATTCTTCATCTTCTCTCCTGTAATTCAATCTGGGAGCCATTAATGAGAGTGCTCTGGTTAATCTTAATTGTCATGATGATATGAGGAGATGTGATATATAAGGTATTCAAACCACGTGGGGTAGATTATTAAGAATCATTGTTAAGTAAGAGGATGGAATGAAACTGGAATGAAACAAGTCAGGCGTCGGGTCTTGGTATTTCCTGCTGTTAGTGCTAGAATATTTTACTTTTTATGTTAAAAATGCAACATACCTAATTTTCCCTCTGATATTTATACAGTATAATATATATGTACATACGTATCCACATCAGGCACATGCACGTACATAGAGCCATATTTGATGCCCCAAAAGGAAGAGGCCCCAAGGGCTCTTTAGTGTGCAATTAATATTTTGGTCTGAAAATCAGCAGATTGTTTCAGTATGGTTATGTGTTATGACATCATATTCCAGTAAAGTTATAATGAACAGAAATTTTGTTTGTCTCTGTGGCAAACCGAAATGAGTTTTGTAATTGTCAGCAGGCCTTAGTGATTATAGTGGCGCCCACTCCCTCCACCATAGTTAAAGGTCTGTTAGCATTCCAGTTGTGGACCTCTATTTTCAGAAGTGTATAATTAATTGTAAACATTTGCTCTGTGGGGAAAGCTTGCCATGTGGGATCTCAGTCCAGAAGTAAATTTCTGATTTCAGGTTGTCTGTTTTGAAGTTTTAGAGTGAAACCAGTTAAAAATAGGCATAAAGTTCTGTGGAGGTGGGAAAACTGAATTTTGTGGGAAACAAAATGAAAATAACCTGCATTGATGATATTAGTCTGTCAAAATTCTGCATTAAAGGGATCTAAAATAAAATAGGTAATAGGAAATTGTGTACTTCAGTGCATCACTAGTTACTGCAGTCAAAGAGCAAAAAAGATTGTGGTTGTAATGCTTTTTAGTCTCTGCACGTTAAAAATATCTTTTACTATAAGTGATTTTTTTCTTCCTTTAACTTTTTTATATTTGCCAATTAAAAATGAGAACATATGACATACAGTAAAAACACGTTTAAAGTATTTTATCTTAATAGAAAACTGTGGGCCAAGAAAATTGACTTTAAAAATTTAAAACAGTGACTTTTTCTTTTTTCTTTCTTTTCATACTCACTCTGGATTTCTCCACAACATTTGACATTGTTGATTATCCCTTCCCCTGACATTGTGTTATAATTTCTTTTCTAACTCTGACCCTCTTTCATCTCCTTCGCTGCTGTCGATTATTTCCCCTGCCTTTTGATCGTGGGCATTAGTCAGATCCCAGCCTTAGGCTGTCTTTTTTGGTTCTTTTACACTTACCCTTTCCAGGTGCTTATCCACTCAACATGGTTTCAATTATTACCTCCCAAATCTGCATCTTCAGTACTGATGTACATTTCTAGTCCTTCACCTTCAGTAAACCTTCACTGATTAGTCCCATCTGCCTGTGAATTCTTACAGAGTGGGCTCTATGCAGTTTATCTCAGGTTGAATATAGAGCTCTGCCACTTGGATGTCTAATAATCATCTACAACTTTAGTAAGACCTCGACTGGCTTCTCTTTGCTTGAAAAGAGACGCTTTGCAGCACAGGAGTGATTTTTAACTTAATTTTTTAGTGTTGCAGTTATACACCCAACATTCCATCAAAATCGAATCTGTTAGTTTTGCTAACTTGCCCAGTCCAGTGGTCACAGTTCTCAGTCAGCATTTCACTGGACGTGTAAGCAGCATCTGACACGACTGACTCCTCCCTCCTGCTAGATATACTTCTCCCATTTGGCTTTCAGGAAGGGCACTCTGCTTGCTTGGTTTTCCTCCTGTCAGTCACGCCCTCCCACAGAGTTCTCACTGTCTTGTGGCTTTAAATTTCACCGACATATTGATGATACCCAAATTCTATCTCCGCCTTGGACCTCTTTCCTGGAGTCCAGACTTATGAATCTGCCTGTCTTCTTTGACATCTTCATTTGGATGTCTAACAGACTGAATAATTTAACATCTCCACCCCAGAGCTGTTGATCCCAACAAACCCATTCCTTTCGCAGTCTTCACCGACTCAACGCACGGGCGCTCCACTGTCTAGTTGCTCATGTCAGAAACCCTGGGGTCTTCCTCGACGCCTCTCTCATATTCCATGGCTAGTCCTTGGGTAAACCCATCTTCTCCACTTTTGAAATTCATCCAGAATCCAAGTACTTCTCATTACTTCCGAAGCTGCTACCCTAGTTCAGGTTTCTGTATTATTGCAGTAGCCTCTTAACAGATCTCCTTGCTCCTGTCATCATTCCCCTACAGTCTGTTTTCAACATAATAGTCAGATGATCCTTCCAATCAATGGAAGTCAGATTATGTTGCTTCTCTCTTTAAAATCTGGCCATTTGGGGCTTCCCTGGTGGCGCAGTGGTTGAGAGTCCGCCTGCCGATGCAGGGTACACGAGTTCGTGCCCCGGTCCGGGAAGATCCCACATGCCGCGGAGCGGCTGGGCCCGTGAGCCATGGCCGCTGAGCCTGCGCGTCCGGAGCCTGTGCTCCGCGACGGGAGGGGCCACAGCAGTGAGAGGCCCGCGCACCGCAAAAAAAAAAAAAAAAAAATCTGGCCATTTCATTCGGGGTAAAAGTCAGATCCTTACAGTAATTTCTGAGGAAGGCCCTGTGGAATCTGGCCACCTCTTCCCATCTCTTAGCTTTCCTTCCTTTACTCCCTTGATGCTAACCAGGTGGGAATCCTCTGAATTACTTGAACACGTATCTGTGTGGTTTCCTTCCTCATTTATATCTGGCCTTTACACAATTGTCATCTTCTCAATGAGACACTCACTGGCCACTGTCTAACCCCCTCCCCGTCCCACCCCACCTGACATTTCTGAACCTTTCCTTCTTTTTCTATTCAACGTGTAGTTCTAACATACTAGATATTCTACATATTTATCTTATTTATTGTCTGTCTTCTCCACTCTAATGTGTGTTTTTGTTCACTGTGATACTCCCCCATCATAAGAAGGTGCTCCATAAATAATTGTTAAATTAATGGATTTTATTGCATATCCTCTTAATTTCTCCTAAGTTTGTTCTTTCTTCTTACAGCCCTCTTTATCCCATCATGTCTGCATCATTGCAGCTTTTTAGTCACGCATCCTTACCTCAGTCACATTAAACACAAACCTGCTAAAAATTTTCACCTTAAATACAATTTATTGTGATTCTTTCTGCTTAAGAATTGGCTTAAACTCTCCACTCTTTCTTATGTTGACTCTGATCTCCTTATTACTTTGCAAAGTACTTATTACTTTGCAGTAGGAGCTCCATCCTACTACTGTTCTTCCCATGTCTAATCATAATTACCTTCTGCTAAAAGCACAGTAATCTGCGTGTTGTCACCTAAATGGTCTTGCTTGTCACTCACCTCTGTGGCAGGTCCCAGTCCTTCAGCACCAGACCATTTGGCTCACTTCTGTCAAAATGTGACTGAAAACTTCTTGCCAGGAAGTCTTCTGTGATAAAATTAAATAATTTTTACAATATTTATGTTTAATGTTTTCTAAAATATGTTTTTCATGGAGATCAGCATATATACTTTATTATCGATAGATGTATTGACTCACATTTTATCTTTTCTAAATACATTCGAGAGGTTAAATCTTTATTGGGGGGACTTCCCTGGTGGCGCAGTGGTTAAGACTCTGAGCTCCCAGTGCAGGGGGCCCGGGTTCGATCCCTGGTCAGGGAACTAGATCCCACATGCGTGCCGCAGCTAAGGAGCCTGCCAGCCACAACTGAGGAGCCCACCTGCCGCAACTAAGATGCTGAGCAACCAAATAAGTAAATAAACGAACAAAAAAAATTTTATTGGGGTTAATAAGAGGGTATAGTGCATTCTATGGTTGGTGTCATTTTAAAGAAAATAAATCTTACTAATGATTATAGAGTGATTTTTTTTTTTTTTTTTTTTTGGCTGCGTTGGGGCTCTGTTGCTGTGCATGGGCTTTCTCTAGTTGCGTTGAGCAGGGGCTACTCTTTGTTGTAGTGCGCGGGCTTCTCATCGCGGTGGCTTCTCTTCTTGCCGAGCACGGGCTCTAGGCGTGCAGCAGTAGTTGTGGCTCGCGGGCCCTAGGGCGCGGGCTCAGTGGTTGTGGCGCACGGGCTTAGTTGCTCCACAGCATGTGTGATCTTCCCAGACCAGGAATTGAACCCATGTCCCCTGCATTGGCAGGCGGATTCTTAACCACTGAGCCACCAGGGAAGTCCCTACAGAGTGATTTTATTGAGCTAACAGTAATATTTTTATTTTCTTACTTTAGGTATCACTGCCCAATGCCCAAGATCTTTTATGTTCAGCTGACTGTAGGAAATAATGAATTTTTTGGGGAAGGAAAGACTCGACAAGCTGCTAGACACAATGCTGCAATGAAAGCCCTTCAGGCACTGCAGAATGAACCTATTCCGGAAAAGTCAGCTCAGGTGGGTCACTGCTGCATGTGGCAGCCTGTTTCTTATAGTTGCCTAGGGAGACTACTGAGAAGACAAACAAATGCTTTTTTACAAATAAGGGAAATCTCTGCTGATAGGAAGGACCACCAGAGTAGCGATCTGCTGTGATTTGCTCCTCAGCTAACCTGTGTGCTATATTAGACTCTTGTGTTCCTGCTGGGATGACCTTACCTTTGAGCACTTTGGTTCACCCTGTGGAGTTTCCAGGCAAGGGAGGATTTGGGAATGTGAGCAAGGATGAGAAATAATATTCATTTACCTTGCATCGAATGCTACGGTTTATTGAGCATGGATTACATTGTATTAATTAATCTAGAATCAAGGAGTTTAAAGTGGAGGAGATCTTTATGAACTTTTTAGTCCTACTTTATTTTACCAGAGAGGTTATTGAGGCTGATCTTCAGTAATTTCACTCGTTCCCATGGCTTCAGCTACTTTCTCTGTTGACTTCAAAATAGTATCTCCAGCCCAGGCGTGTCTAGTAAGTCACCTTCTCAGCGAGTTCTGCACTTAGTTATTTGAAACTGTGCGGTTCAACCTGTACAGTTTCCCTTTCCTCAAGCCTGTTGTTCTTCCCCCTTTGAGATTTATCTTAGTTACTGGCAGACTTAGAATTTTTGTCCTTGTACACTTTCATTATAACCCTTATCCGTTTGCTTATCTGTTTTCCCACTAAGTCATAAGCTTCTTGACAGCAGGAATACTGTCTCTTGATCTCTTTAATGCTTATACTGTGTTCAGTATATGTGAGGCCCTCCAGAAGTAAGTGTTAAATAGGTGAATAAGTAAATTGACACAGAGCTCCGAAATCCTGGTTTGCATCCTGCACTCTTTCTGCAACTTAGTCTCCATAGAAGATTAAATATCATATACCAGTGGAGGTAGTGTGTGTGTGTGTGTGTGTGTGTGTGTGTGTGTGTGTGTGTGTGTAATGGAGGTCTCTAAAGAGAACTGGGTCTGAGGAGGTAGGATAAACTCAAATTAGTGAATGGTTGAGTAAGAGATTTCCACACTCAGCATTTATCCTTCTACTTTGAGGAAAAAAACTAAAACCAAATCACAAGAAGCCTCACAGCAAAGCCCTCGACTATGGTGGTTACATAGAAATCCACAAGATCCAGTTTCTGGTTTCCTGTTTCCTGTTGTATTTTAGATAGGTTCCCTTGATTGTTAAATACATGTAAAGTTTGTTACAAAGTGAAGATTCAATGTCATCCTATTTTTTGTGATTTAGAATGGTGAATCAGGAAAAGAAATGGATGATGACAAAGATGCAAATAAGTCTGAGATCAGCTTAGTGTTTGAAATTGCTCTGAAGCGAAATATGCCCGTCAGTTTTGAGGTATGTGTTCAGCAGAGATCTCCCATTTTTCCCTCCTTGCTCCTTATTATTTTAAATAAACAAACAAATAAGATTGACAAATAAAATTTCAGTATCCTGAAAGAATTAATGTGCTTCCTGACGTTTGAACTCTCTATCATGAAATGATACAAGCCCTGAGAAAATAGAACTTATGGATTCCTGCTGATTCTCTTTGCCTTTTCTGTATTAAGCCATTTGTGTACATGATATTTCACGTTTCATCATAAAATTTATTTGCTGAGTTTAAGATAATTTGTAGTAACCTATAAGACTTGGTGTTTTTGATAAGATCACATTGAAAATATTCAGTATAGTTAATATTTAGTGACATGTATATATTAATATCTAATTTCTTCTAAGTTTATGGAGGCCAAAATATGTTTAAATTTAACCTTTACTAATAAGTCACCAAGAAGTAATTAAGCAGCTCTCTAGTTTACAGCTAGATAAATGTCACCAAATATTTTCAAAATCGTGTGACATTTAAAAGAGAAAAAATGTTAAATTGTTATAATACCTCCTTTATTAAGAGGTCACTAATTTTGCAACTCAAATATCTAGAAAATAGGCCAAACCCAGGAAATAAACTGAAACAGTTGATGAGTATCTGTCTTCCTTCAAATTATGTGATGTTTACCAACTAGAAAGCTCCCACATTTTACTCTCACTGGCAGGATCTACTTACCTCGACTGGGAACCTGTTTGCTTTCTTAGACACAGTCCTAACAAGTTGGGTTATCTGATTTCTCAGTCCATAGAGATTAAAGGCAGCAAAATGAGGAAAGCAGGAAGAGAATGTACTTGAGGGCTTGTTGGTCCCAGCAAGAAATGATAGGGAAAATATGGAAAACCTATCAAAAGTAATTGCATATAACTCAAAAGTCATTGGAAGATGGGGCCTTTTAAAGGCTACAGTGAAGAGGAACAGTTTTAAAAGTCTTAGATGTCCTTAGAGACATCAATATAGTATAGTATAGAATATCTGATGTTCATAATGATGATCTAATGTGAACAATAAAAGGTTAAATATTTAGTCAGTAAAGTATATATGTATATATTTTAATTGAGGAAGATGTCCATCAAAGTGGTTAAACAGTTTTGGTGTTTCAACTTGTAAACTTAAATTATTTGGAAAGTATGCTTATCATAAATTCCTTATCCCCAATAATATTACATTATTGAGATATTCTATGTTTTCCTAATTGGTGTCCAATATTAGAAGACAGATTTTTAATATAATGTTCAATGGTAAACTATTTAAATAGGGTATTTTTGTTTTTTTTAGGTCAGCCTTTTGAAGGAGACTATAAAGCACTCAGGTTTTGGAAGGCATTTTTCCTCCAAAAACTGGTATAGTTTAAAAAGAGCACATTAATTCAGGATTTAGGAACATTTGTAGCAGACAGATTCATAATCCGTTACTCTAGAAAGTTAGGTATTTCTATGGCATACCTACTTACCTATTTAAGGTCATGTCACAGAGCGTAAACATTCCTTTTTGTAATCAGCCTTTGTTGAGGTCTCCATCAAAATTAGATTATTTTTCATACATAACCTGTTTTTGAGAAGCTTCCACATGCAGGATGCTTTATGGGTTATAAAACTCCTGGCACTCCAGTAACTTACTCTTACAGAGGAGAAAGATATGTACACAGTTATATGCAAATTATCATTCTGGATGGCCTGTGTACCTAATGTAATATGGTATGTTTTATGTTCTTAATTTTCTGTTCCATAAGAAACAGGGTAACCATAATTAGAATTGCCTGTTTTAAGCTAGTAAAACACAATTTTGACCATGAATTGAATGTGTTTATTTAGATTTCTGTTTTTTCAAATTCAGTTCCTTTAGGCATCGTAAGTATCATCAATGAATAGCCCCTGTATAATGACTTCGTAATAGCCTTATTGAAGGAATCTATGATTTTGGCATAATTCTTAATAATTTCAATCCTGATTATGATATGAACATTAAGAAAGATTCATGCCATAAGAACACATCTTAAGTGCCTGTACTGAATACTTTACTTACATTCAATAGGTTATTAAAGAAAGTGGACCACCACATATGAAAAGCTTTGTTACTCGGGTGTCAGTGGGAGAGTTCTCTGCAGAAGGAGAGGGAAATAGCAAAAAACTATCCAAGAAACGTGCTGCAACCACTGTCCTGCAGGAGCTTAAGAAACTTCCACCTCTTCCTGTGGTTGAAAAGCCAAAACTGTTTTTTAAAAAACGCCCTAAAACAATAGTAAAGGTAAGTATATGCTTGTGAACGTTAGTTTTACTATGTAAATGTTATAGTATCTGTAGCTAAAAGTTTTTTCATAGGCCAGGCACTTAAACCTGTGGGTTATAAACAGTCCCCAAATCAGGGTTGGACATGTGTCTATAAATGAATAACAATTCTGTTTTGCTTTTAGACACTTGTATACCTGTGTTTGTTCATGAAATAATAATACCTTAAATAGTTATCGTTTTTTATGGTTTAAAAAATACTTTCCCATTCATGATTACCTTTGGTAAAATTCTCATCATGATTCTGTAAGGCAGGTGTTACCCCTCATTTTACAAATAAGGTTTTATGGGACATAGTCAAAGAATTTGCTCACTTGTATTCACCTATCATGTGCAGCAGCCTGAACTACTGATCTGTAACCCAGTGTTCTTTCTGCAGACCACACTGCTGTATGGTGACTGCTTAGGATTTCAGGACACGGGGGTTGGATGCAGAGTCATAATCATATGAGTAATCCTCACACTGATGACAGCAGAAGCAGCCAGTAAATAGAAAGCGCTCAGTGCGCCAGACATGGTCCCAGCACTTCACATGCTTTATCTCATTTAATCCCCGTAGCAGCCCTAGGAGGTCAGCGGGGCGATTTGGTTTCTATTCTTTCAGGCATGAATACCGTGTCAAAGAGAGCACACAGCTTTTCAAGGTGTTGTAACTCTTTCTTTTACTGAATCAGATTTTATTTACGTTAACCAAAAAAAAAAAAAAAAAAAAAAAAAGGCGGAGGTCAGAGGAGTGAGATGAATTAGCACTTAGCACAGAACGGTGCCTGCAGACACTCAGCATGTGTGACGTGAATGGAGCGAGAGCTCTGCTCCCAGAGAAAGCCTTACGCTGCCAGCGCACGAGCGGCTAGCTCAGCCTCGCGTATTTAGCAGACTTCTTCAGAGCATCGAGGGTGACGGAAGTGAAGTACATTTTATCTTTGATGGATTTCTTTTGTTTAGATCCTGCAGTGGTACACTTGAAATATTTCTGTAGGTTTTAGATTTTTGTACCTTTGCTTTATTTAAAAATACATGCAGACGTATTTACATAAATACACAAATACCTGTATAAACAACTACGTAAATACTTGTTCTTTTTACTGAATACTGTCACTACTTCACCGAGAGGCTGTAGATTATGCATTTCCTGAAATAGCATTCTACGTTGTGCTGCAAGGTAGACTAAAAATAAACGCCAAATAGATCCACTCCTCATGAGTCATAGTGGTTTTGAGGACTGGCTTTCATTTATATGCTCTAACCACATGGTCAGGGAGTAGGATATGGTTGTTAAGAAAATGGCCATCAGAGTCAGAAAATGACCTTGGAGTGTGAATCCTTGTGACCTGAGCAAGTTGCCTAACTTTTCACTTCTCTGTTTATAAAGTAGGAATAATAATTGAACTTGCTTCACAGGATTGTTATGTGTTACTTGAAATAATACATAGAATGCATTAGTCATTATTATTAAATATTTATTAACAATACAAATAATAAGTACTCAATAAATATTAGCTATTGTTATTTTGTATCTAATTCTATTCACATTTTATATGTGCATGAATGTATCCATGGTCTGTTTTCCTAAATCTTTATACATATAAAATCTATAGCTTCTCCATGATGGAAGAACAGTGCTCTGCATCAGAATGGCAGTGCAAAACTGGTCACATTAACCTCCACCTAATCTATTAAACTAAATCTGATCTTAATAAATTAAGAATAATAAGCCTTTAGTCTAGAAAAGATCTATCATAGTAGAATATAAATGTAACTCTTGTTACTTTTAACCATAGCCATTAAAAGCAAGAGTATTGTTTAAATGTTATTCCACAAACGGGGGGGAGAAACGTTTTGAATTTTAAAAATAATTTGCTACTACCTCCAGTATATAAGCATGTTATTCTAGAACTTTCTTCCTATCCACCATTTAGATCTCAGCTTAAACTTGACTTCTTCAGGGATGCCTTCTCTGATCCTCCCCCAGTCCCAGATTTGGTTCGCCCCCTGCAATTTTCCTCACATACATCACACTTGGAGTTTCTTGTACCATGTCTGTCTTATGTTAACGTCTGTAGATATTCTCTGAAATGTAAGGTTATTTTGAGAAAGCAGCATGCATACAATGAGTTGGAATCTAGAGAATTTTGAGTACGATCAGACCTTCCACTTACTGGGCCAGTAAGTGGATCAGCTTGGACGGTGTCTTGGTTTTCAGCATTTTAGTCACTTCCCTAAATGTCTTCTACATCTAGGGTCTACCATTCCTTATTATGCAGTAGAAGTAGAGAAAATAGCTGTTGATGATTTACCTTGATTTTATTTAGAATAATGAAATTATCACATTGTCTCATCTGATCCTCTTAATCACTCTGTGCTGTAGATATTATCCCCATTTTACAGATGAGGTTCTTGGCGTTTAAGAAACTTCCCTAAGATCACAGAGCAGAGGCAGGTTTCAGGTCCAGTCACATCTGATGCCAGTGCCCATTTGAAACTGGTTGGTTGTGAACTCCTTTTGGATTTTAATTTACTTTACAGAGTCACCTTGTTAAAATGTAATACTGCCCTGATGGTGTCTTTGGGTTTAGATTCTGTTGTTTAATGTAGCTTCTCTTCTATAAGATGAGGCCTCAAAGAAGGTTTTCTGATGTTGGAGATAAAGTTTTCTGAATAAGACTGTCCTTACTGGTTTGTAGAATGATAATCTAAGACTTGCTATCCAAGGAATAACTTCATTTTCAAGGGTGCTGGTAGTTAATTTCAGTCAAGGGAAGAAACCAGCCATTCTTAGTGTTCTCAGAACTCCGTTATTCTCTGATAGGATTTATGCATCTGGTTCTTTGTCATTGGAATCTGTATCAACAACATCTTTGGAACCTACAGACATTCTTATAAAATAGGCAAATTAAACAGGAATAAAGACAACATACCGTTGGAAGTACATGTTTACGTGACCATCTTCATGGACATCTTCTAGTGCGAGACCCAAGAGCTTCCCTTTACCTTTTCATTGGCATTTCAATCTTAGACTTACGGGTTATTATCTGTATTTGTCTTTTCTCATCAGTCCTTCTATACTTCTATTACAATATATATTTTTTTCATTTTCTTCGTATGTAAGTAGAAACCAATATTTTATCAAAAGCTAAAATTTTCCTTTTCTTTCTTCTCCCCCTCTACCCAACTATTGCAGTATTGAAGTTCTCAGTCTTTTCCCTCTCTTACTCTCTCCTAGGCTGCTCTTCATACTTCTAGGGCTTCAATTCAGTCCTTATATAGATGATTCCCAAATATTCTTCTGTGCTCGACACTGCCTATTGGGCCTCTCACTTAATAGTTCACAGGCCCCTGAAACTCTGTCCAAAACTCATCGCGTTCCCTTCTGAACCTCTTCCTCCTCCTGCATATTCCTTATCATAGTGACGGGCATCCCCATCCAGCTGCTGAAACAGAATCCTGGGAGTCATTTTTAACATCTCTCCACCTCCTTGTATAGAGTCAATCATCAAACCCTATTGATTCCATCACTTAAATATTTCCTAAGTTGGTCCATTTCTTTCCATTCCCTGCCGCCCTTTTGATCCAACTCACAGTCATGTCTTGCCAGAACTACTACAGTAGGTTTTTTGTTTTTGTTTTTTTTTTAAGATGTTGGGGGTAGGAGTTTATTAATTAATTTATTTTTGCTGTGTTGGGTCTTCGTTTCTGTGCGAGGGCTTTCTCTGGTTGTGGCAAGTGGGGGCCACTCTTAATCGCGGTGCGCGGGCCTCTCACTATCACGGCCTCTCTTGTTGTGGAGCACAGGCTCCAGACGCGCAGGCTCAGTAGTTGTGGCTCACGGGCTTAGTTGCTCCATGGCATGTGGGATCATCCCAGACCAGGGCTCGAACCCGTGTCCCCTGCATTAGCAGGCAGATTCTCAACCACTGCGCCACCAGGGAAGCCCCTACAGTAGGTTTTTAATTGGCCTTCTTCCTACAAGTACTTTTGACATCAAAAGATCTTTCTAAAAGGGTTGTCTTTTAGAAATACTGATCAGATCATGTCATGCCTCTACTTAAAATCTTTTAGTAATTTCTCATTGTTCTTTGGGTAAAACCCCAAATCCCCAAAACATAATTTAAAGGACCTTGCAGGATCTGACTTAGAGGCTGTACCTGCAGCACCAAGCTAGATATGGTCGAGACTCAACAACTACGGGAAGAGCTAAGACTATATAGTGGCTCTTCTGTGAGTGTAGTGTAACATATATAAACTGTAACTTAGTGATTACCCTTGTCTCTAATACCTGTTTTAGAGTAAATTTTCACAGGTGGATATAAAGTGCTGACCATATGACATGCAAACCTTCATTTCTAGGAATAATATATGAAGAAACTTAGTTTGCATGCAGAAAAAAATATTTGATTTGCAAAGGTTTATTTTTTGTTTGTTTTTAAACCTTTTAGAAGCCACTAAAAAGGCTATACATGAACTTAAAAAAAAAGCTTTTATCAAGTTTTATTCATAAACATTGCCTTATATAAAGTTAAAAATAGAGTGCCTTCTAAAAGGTTTATATAGGATGTGTATGTAAGTTAAAAAGCATACTAAGTAAGAGTAAGTAAAACCTACCACCCAGCTTGAATATAGAACATTTCTCGGTAAGGTTGAAGCTATCTGTATACCCTCTTCTGTCACATCCTGATACCACCTCCCTTAGGTAACCTGCCATCATTAGTTTTGTGTTTAATGTTTCCTAATCTTACAGTTTTACTACATGTTTGTTTTTCTGGAAAATGGTATTTGGTTGGTTTCTAAAATAGCTTTATTGGGGTGTAATTGGCATACAGTGAACTGTACATATTTAAAGCATACTATTTCATATGATTTGATATATGTATACACTTGTGAAACCATGACCACAGTCAAGACAATGAACCTATCCATTGCTCCCCAAAGTTTCCTCATTCCCCTTTGGAATCCCCCCACCTTCAATTCCCAAGCAACCACTCTTTTTTTTGACTGGCTTCGTTCACTGGGTATAATAATTTAGAAATTCATCCATGTTGTTACAGCTATTAATTGTTGGTTCTGTTTTGTTGCTAAGTAGTATTATATTGAATGGATATACCATGATTTGTTTATCCATTCACTCTTTGTTGGATATTTGGGATGCTTCTAATTTGGGGCTATTAAAAATAAAGCTGCTGTGAACATTTGTGTCTAAGTCTTCTGGGCATATGCTTTTTTTTCTCTTGGGTAATTACTTAGGAATAGAGTGGTGTGGTCATTTAGTAGGTATATGACATTTTAAGAAACTGCCAATAGTTTTTCAAAGTGATTGAACCATTTTGTTTTCTCAGCAGCCATGCGTGAGAATTCGAGTATCTGCACATCCTTTCTAACACATAGTATAGTTAAATTTCAGTTGTTCAAATACATGCATATTGATATCTCATTTTGGTTCAGATTCCTCTAGTGACTAATGATAGAGCATTTTTTTGTATATGCAGTAGCACATGAAGCTTGCTGAAGTGTTGTTCAGATCTTTTGCTCGCTTAAAAAGTTTTAAGTAATTAAATAATAACAAATAATACATTTAAAATATAAATTTATTACGGAATTTTGAGAGGTCTTTATACATTCTGGGTACAAGTTTTTTTTTAATCAGATATGTGGTTTGCAAATATTTCTCCAAGCCTGTGGCTTGTCCTTTTTAAAGAACAGACGTTACTAATTTTGACGAAGTTCAGTTTATTATCATTATTATTATTGAATGTGATTTTGGTGTTGTATCTAAGAAATTGTTACCTAACCAAACCAGAAGAATTTCCCCTATATTTTCTTCTGGAAGTTTTAGTTTTAGATATTACACTTAAGCCTATGAACCATTTTGAGTTAACTTTTGTGTGAGGTATGGATTGAAGTTTTGGTGCTTTTCTACATGTGAATATCCAATTGTTCCAGTACCATTGGTTGAGAAGACCACCCTTTCTCCACTGAATGGCTTTTGCACCTTTGTTGACCATGTATATGTGGATGTACTTCTGGATGCTGTTCTGTTTCATTGATCTCTTTGTCTGTCTTTCTGCCAGTACCACACATACTATCTTGATTACTATAGAGTTATAATAAATCTTGAAATCAGGTAGTCTGATTCCTCCAACTTTGTTCTTTTTTCAAGGTTGTTTTGGTTATTTGTCCTTTGCATTTCCATATGAATTTTAAGTATTGGCTTATTAATTATTACCCAAAAGCACATGCTGGGGTTTTGATTGGGGTTGATAGATTGATTTTGATTGATTTGATAGATTTGATTGATAGATCAGTTTGAAGAGAATCAACATTTTAAGAATATTGCGTCTGCTGATCCATTAACATGTGTGTCTGTCCACTTACTGAGATCTTATTTAATTTCACCAGTGTTTTGTAGTTTTAATGGGCTTTATATAAATTATATCATACTTTGTATATTCTTCTGTGCTTGCTTTTCTCACTTAACATGTTTTTCTTAAATTCATTCATCTTGATGTATGTAGCAATACTTAATTCATTTTCACTGTTATATGCCGTTCCATTGTATGAACATGCCATAATTTATTTTTTCTTTTATAGAAGAATGTTTAGGTTATTTCCAGTTTTTCTTTTTTTTGCTATTTCAAATAACGCAGCTGTGGATACTCCCATACAAATGAGCTAGCAATTTGGGTAACAGTTTTCTAGTTGAAGAGGCTACTGAGGAGTGGGTTATTTATTGGCTTTACTAGGCATTGCCAAATTGTGTTCCAGTTTATATTATGACCAGCACTGTGTAAGTTTTTGTTTCTCCCCACCTTCACCAGTTGAGGCTGTTGGACTTCTTTTGCTAAATTGATAGGTATGAAATAGTGTCTCACTGTGGTTTTAATATGCATTTTCTGAGTCTTAATGAGATGGATTATCTTTTTATATGTTTTTTTTTCCTCTGTTAAGTATCTGTTCATCTCATCTGCCCATTTTTCTTTTATTTTTAAAAGTATTTATTTATTTATTTTTGGCTGCATTGGCTCTTAGTCGCGGCAGGTGGGATCTTCTTTGAGGCATGCAGAATCTTTCATTGCAGTGCGTGGGCTCTTTGTTGTGGCACGTGGGCTTCTCTCTAGTTGTGGGCATGGGCTGCTCTAGTTGTGGTGTGTGGGCTCCAGAGCGCATGGGCTCCAGAGCGAGTGGGCTCTATAGTTTGCCGCACACGAGCTCTCTAGTTGAGGCATGCAAGCTCAGTAGTTGTGGCGTGCGGGCTTAGTTGACCCATGGCATGTGGGATCTTAATTCCCCGGCCAGGGATCGAGTGCACGTCCCCCGCATTGGCAGGTGGATCCTTTACCACTGGACCACCAGGGAAGTCCTGCCCATTTTTATTTTAACACTTTTTTTTTTTGGCCACACCTCATGGCTTGCGGGACCTTAGTTCCCCCACCAGGGATAGAACCCAGGCCCTTGACAGTGAAAGCAGAGTCCTAACCACTGGACCACCAGGGAGTTCCCCATTTTTATTTTAGATGGTCTTTTTCTTAATACTTTTTAGGAGTTTTTAAAAATATATTTTGGATACTGGGTATATCTTTTTTTTAACTTACATGTATTTCAAATATCTCTTCCCAGTTCATGGCTTGTCTTCTTACATTCTTTTTGGTGTTTTTTGATGAATAGAAGTTGTGAAGCAACTCCTACTGTAATAAAGAGTTTAAAAGGATAGTTGACCAACTTATCAATAATACTTCTGAGCCCTGAATCCTGTAGAAGCCTAGTTTCAGATCCGTTTTCTAATTTTCCTTTATAAATTTTCATTTATTTCAGACAGAGTTTTGGGGTGCAGGGGAGGAGGTGAGAACCATGGTTTCTTTAAGGATCTAATAACAAGTTTTAAAAGCAGGTCTTATGTTTTGAAAATTTTTCTTAAATTTTTTTAGGCTGGACCAGAGTATGGTCAAGGAATGAACCCCATTAGCCGCCTGGCTCAAATTCAACAGGCCAAAAAGGAAAAGGAACCAGATTACGTTTTGCTTTCAGAAAGAGGAATGCCTCGACGTCGGGAATTTGTGATGCAGGTATTTCTAACTTTTATATTAAAAGATTTTTTTAGCTATTGAAAAAATTTAGAAATCCTGAAGCTGGAATAGAGATATGGTGGAAACGAAAACTAGGAATTAATAGTAGAAGGTAATAAAACTGTTTACATTTAAAGTGTTCATTCCCTCCAGGCCCATCTACCCACTTGGTTGAAACATTCAAGTGTCAAGGACGTGTTAGAATAGATAGTATGCGTTTCTAAGGGGCTGTGAGCTCACACAGAGTTCATCACTGGGAATGCCTATCTGTAACTTAATGTGTTGCAATTTGCAGCTGGAGTCTATTAACTACTGGGAATAAAAGACAGATGGAATTAGAAACAAAATTTAGAAGGGTGGACGTAGTATGTGGAACAGGGCCAAGAGCACGGGCTTTTGGGTTATTAGATAAATTAGGAAAAGGGAGCTAGCCGGCTACCTAACTGTGGTGAGGACTGAGGAACTCGGAATTGCTGAGAGACTTAACTGCTGCGTTGTGAAGCCAAGAAAATTGAAGAACGGTTGCTGGTGTATTGGTCGATGGGTGGGGACTGAGAATGAGGGAGAAGGCCTAAAATGTCCTCCTTCGTTTTAAATCCTATACCTGTCCACCTTCATTTGCCAAGTCAAGCCCCGGTATCACAGAAACTTTTCATTTTTGTTATGAAAATTTCAAACATAGCCAAAGGTGGATATATTTAATAGTATGCTTTAGAAAATAGTATAATGGAAGAGTATAATGGCATCTTAGGGGAAATGCCCACCATCCAAAGCCAACAATTATGATTTCTGCTGTACTGGGCTTTGGCCGTCAGTTTTTCTTTCCTCCCTTCCTCCCACCCTCCTTTCCTCCTTTTCCTGAAGTATTTTAAAGCTGCTTTCTAACCACATGTCATTTTAGCCTACGTACTTAGTGTGTATCTCTAAAACATATGGAAGTTTTTCTTACCTTTTCTTACATTAGGCATGGTTCATTAGAATCATCTCACGCCCAGTCTGTGTTTAAATTCTCGTTGTCCCAACTGTTTCTGTTATAATAGGCTTGTCAGAGAACCTTTTTCCAGTCAAACCTGTGGCTCTCATTTGTAATAAAACCCAGTTACAATCAACAGATGTTAATTAAGTGCTGACCCATGGCAAACGTTCTGGACTCGAATAGTGTATCTCATGTTGATTAACTTTCGTGCATGTCTAAATTTTACCTTCCTTCCTAATTTGTAATCCCCACGTTGCTTTATCTCGTAGTACCCAATATGGCGGTATGTATGTAGTAGGACCTTCATAAACATGTGAGGTATATTTGCTGCCTGCCTGATGGAGAGCTAGTATGTTAGGCTTTTGTTGGCGATATAAACTTACGATGTAGTTACAGGTGAACCACGGTTGGGAACTTAGACATCCAGAGAGGGGGAATTCTTCTGTGGTTTGTGAACACATTATTGTCTGGATGTCACTGGGACCCGCAACAGTGTGGTTCCAGTATTTTCACTTTGTTAAACATGTGCACCGGTTTTCTTTTTACATTCTTGACTTTAAAGAATTATAGAAAATATTCTTTGAACTCCAAAACTTGAGGGGAAAAAAAAAAATCCCCTACATTTTAGACCTGTGTCAGGAATAACAAGCTGGCTTCGACTTTATTAAACAATTCCTTTCCTGTGGAGTATATTGAGTACCCCTTTTGAAAGAGGAATTTAGAATATCTTAGGCGAGCTTCCATTTTATGGGTATTCATAAACATTCTAGTCAAACAGGAACATTTGGCTGTACTTCTAAATGTTTTCACACTGAATTCATATTGTTTTTTCCTTCTTCTGAAAGCCCCAGTGGATTCATTACAGTATTGCAGCAACTTCATCAAAGTAAAGGCTTTTGTATAAACTACTTAAACAATGTTATCATTCGTTATAATTGAATGTGGAAGCAAACTCTCTAAAGATAATGCACTCATATTTATCTATCGCCAGAAAATCCCCACAAACAAATGTGTGTTATAAAATGGATGTAGTTACTTGTATTGATTACTAGGTAAAGGAAAATCTCTGATGACATTATTTGGGTATTTAGGTCCAGAGAAAATTTCTTAAAGTTTTTTTTTTTTTTTTTTGGGGGGGGGAGGCATATTTTAATTTTTCAAGAGAAAATAACGATAACTAAATTGTATATCAGCACGTTCTGTTACTATGTGTCGTATGATGTTAATTTTTCTACCTGTGATTAAGATCTCCAGATTTTAAAAAATATATGTAAAGGAAATTTCATTTGTGACTCAGTGAAAGATAATTAAGTTTTTGGTAAATGCTATTTTAGAATTTTTTTGTTGGTTTTTTGAGGACTTGATTAATTAAAAATAAATTTTTTTAAATAGTATCTTGGGGTTTTTTTTTGTTTTTTTTTGTGCTGTGTGGCACGTGGGATCTTAGTTCCCTGACCAGGGATCAAACCCGTGACCCCTGCAATGGAAGCGTGGAGTCTTAACCACTGGACTGCCAGGAAGTCCAGATGACTTGATTAATTTAAATGATTTGTTTAAAGACAAAAAATCTGTCTGTCTTAAATTTATTGCGTAGCAAAATAATTGAGCTTCTTTGCAGAAAAATTAACATTTTAATGTAAAAGTCTTACAATAGTTATAAAATTTGTGAGCTTTGTAGGAAGATGACTTTTGGAAGTTTACTTACATACTTACTTGACTTTTATAATGCAGTGATTTCTTTTTTTTGAGTGACCACTGTGAGTGCTGGCAGGGAATCAAAGTCCTTTCGCACAGTGGTCTTTTTCAATAGTAACAAATAACTCTGGGGTAACCAACTACTCACAAGCTATTGAACCATGCAACTGTAAAAACTTGTGTCAGACAAGGGGTGGGTGAATGGGAAAAATGAATCTGGAAGCACCTGTTCTGGAAATAAGTCTTGAGGTGTCAGAGTAGGTCAGACGGAAAGCCAGCAGACATAGATTTAAGGTGAATGCTGTGATGGGAACCCCATGGCCCAAGAGCAGGAACCTGGAGCCAGAGGGCCTCAGGCCTGGGCAGGTAAATGAGACTTAGGGATGAAGCAGCAGCAGATTTGAATGAGAATGACAAGACGTATATAGCTTGTGAAAACAGATGAAACATCTTTCGCTGCTCAGTTATCTTTTGCTGCCATTTACTTTGGCAAGTCTTGTGACCCTCAGAGCAGTAGAGGAAGCTTCTGACGTAGCTGGCCTAATCTTTTAGCTAGCATGCATTCCAGCAACAACACAGGGTCTGGTGAAGCTGGGGAACAAACCAAGCACTGGAAAAAACAACAGGTAGCAGAGGCTGGCTCTTGCCAGGGACTCAAGGACACACAAGGCCTTGATACATCGGGTCAGGTGCAGGCCAACAGATGTGGGAGGTGTGTGTGTTCACCCAGCTCCAAGGATAGGCCGTGAACAGCACTAGATCAGTGCTTCTGAGTGGGGTCCATAGACTACTTGCTGATTTGTCATAATGTGGTGGTTTCTGGTTTCAGGAGAAGCAGCAATGAAATGTTTCAAAAACATTGCACAGATCTGAACTATAAGATTTGTGATAGTTGTTACAGAGGTTCTATAATGAGTACATTTTCAGTGTCTCATATACTGCAAGAAGTATGTCATTTAGTTCATCTTGAGTTATACTCTGTTTAGAAAGTGCAGTTCTTTGTCATATAATTTGGACATTATTTATAATTGTTAAGTTTTTTTTTAAGCACTGTGTTGCATATCCCTAATTCCTTAAAAGGAGCTGGTTCACTGAAGCTTAAAAGTAGTGATGGAAATAGTAATACAAATAAAAATCTCAATAATGGTGTAAGAATAAATGGCAAACAGTACACATGTGTGGATACCAGATGGAAATCTATTATGTTCTGACACAAGTGAACTAACAAATGTTATGATTACACACAAAAGCCAAAAAAGAAAAATATGTGTAGAATTATCATACATTGTATCTGAAAACTAGTTTTAGTTGTATCACATAGCCATTCATTGATAGTACCCAGTATAGGTGTCGTTGTGAAATTTTATTAAAGTGACATGAAGCTATTGAAGTTTTCTAATTTTTTTTAAACAAATTGCAGTGACATTTGATAAAACAATTCAAAATTTCAGATATAGATTGCCTGTTCAGCTTTCTTGCTCATTTTTCAGCTGTTTTTTTTTAAAAAATTGATTTATAGGAATCTATTATATATTCTGGAAATGTGAACCTTTTGCAGTTATATGGCATTTCAAATATCTTCTCTTGTGCTGTGACTTGACTCTTCCTTTTCTAATGATACTTTATGAGGAATAGAAGTAATTCATTTTAAGGCAGTCAAGTTTATCTCTCTTTTCCCTGATGTTAATTTTATAATAAGTCTAGACATCCTGAAGAATAATGCCCCCACCTTGTTCTTCCTCAAAAGGATCTTGGCTGTTCTTTGCACCTTGCATTTCCATGTAAATTTTGGAATCAGCTTGTCAAATATTGTGAAAATATGTGTGGGATTTTGATGGGAATTTATTGAATTTATAGGTCAATTTGAAAAAATTGATATTATAATATTGAGTCTTCAATGCATGAGAATGGCATACCTCTTTTAGGTTTATCTTAATATTTCTCAATAATGTGTATTGTTTTATGTGTAAAGATTTTAAACATCATAGATATTTGATTTTTGTTTAATAGAAATTGTATCTTTTAATATTTTTCATTTTCTACTTAATCGTTGATGGACTATACAAGGGCAGTTGGCTTTTGTATACTGTCTTTTATACAAGAACTTGTACTTTCATAAATTCTTATAGTTTACCCATACATTTTCTTGGATTTCCTCTGTAAATATTATTTCTGCAAGTAATGACAGTTTGTTCTTACACTTCTAATTCTTAAACCTTTTATTTCGCTTGCCTTATTGCTATGTCCAGGGTTTGCAGTAAAATGTTAAATACTAGTAAAAATGGAGGGCATTTTTGTCTTGTTTCTAATTTCAGAACTTCAACATTAAGTATAATGTTTGCTGAGGTTTGAGTTCTCTTCCTTCCCTAGTTGCTAAGAATTTTTATCATGAATGAATGTTGAGTTTTAGCAAATGCTTTTGCTTCATTTATTAGGGTGATCATATGATTTGTCTCCTCAACTGATTAATATAGCAGATTCCATTGATTTCGTTTGAGTTTCGAATGTTAGACTTACCTTGCATTTTTGGAATCAACCTAACTTAGTCACAATTTTTCTTCTTTTTAATATTGCTTTGTTCAATGTACTATTATATGGTTTAAACTAGCATTTATGTTCATGAGTGAAACTGGTCTGTAAAATTTTTTTCTTATACTTGTTGGATTTTGGAACCAAAGTGATGCCTCATTGAATAATTGGGGACTGATTCCTCTTTTTTTATTCTTGGATGAATTTTTGTAAGATTAGCATTATTCTTAAATGTTGAGTGGAACTTGCTGGAGAAGCTCTCAGAAGTTCTCTTTGTGGAAAAGTTTTTAATTGTGGTTTTAATTTCTTTAGTAGTTACAGATCTATATAGCTAAGAGTTTATTCTCTGCCAGTTTTGGTAATTTGTATTGTCTAGGAATGTTTCCATTTTATGTAAATAGTCAAAAAAATGTTAGCTGAAATATTCAGTATCCTTTATTATTTTGTAATGCTACAGAAGCTATAGTAATCTCCCATTTTCATTCTTATTTGTGTCTTATTTTATCGTGATCAGTATTACCTTTGGTTTATCATTTTATTAGTCTTTTCAGGGAACCAGCTTTAAGCTTTTTGAACTTCTCTGTTGTACTTTGTTTTATATTTCCTTAATTTCTGCTCTTGTCTCTATTTTTCTATTTTCTTTGGGTTTATTTTGCTGTTAATCACTTCTTGAGATGGATGGTTAGCTTATTACTTTTCTGCCTTTCTCTAAGCTTTTTTTTTTGCGGTACGCGGGCCTCTCACTGTTGTGGCCCCTCCCATTGCGGAGCACAGGCTCCAGACGCGCAGGCTCAGTGGCCATGGCTCACGGGCCCAGCCGCTCCGCGGCATGTGGGATCTTCCCGGACCGGGGCACGAACCCGTGTCCCCTGCATCGGCAGGTGGACTCTCAACCACTGTGCCACCAGGGAAGCCCTCTCTAAGCTTTTATGGCTTATTTATTTTCTTCTAGACACTCTTTTAGCTACATCCTTCAAGTTTTGATATATTTCCATTATTCCATATTTCCATTATTATTAAAATATTTTCTAATTTCCGGTGAGATTTCTTCTTTGCCCATAGATTATTTAGATTGTTTAATTTCCAAAATTGTGATTATCTTCTTGTCTGCTTCTCTCACTTACTGAGAACAACGTATAAAAACAAATTCCACTCTCATTGTGTATTTTCTATTTCTCCTTGTAATTCTTTCCTTTTTTGTTTTCTAATTTACTTTTTATATTTGTATTATCTCAGTACATGCAAGTCTAAAAAATCATTACCCAACTCAGGAAATGTACACGTGGATATAAAATGACTGATGTGTATTTAAATATGTTGATGTACATATATACATGTGTACATCAAGTGTTCACAAAAGGTAACTGTGGAATAGTTCTAATGATAAAAAGCTACCATTTATCGAGCAGTTATACTCACATACTGTAACATACACTGTAGTTTACATACATTTTTGTGTTTAATTTTCAAAGCAACACTATTAGGTCATTTTATTATCCCTCTTTTACTGATGAAAAAACTGAGGCTTAGATATAGTAAATAATTTGAATCAGTTCATGCAGCTAGGAAGTAGTAGAGTTGGATTTCAACTAAATCTGACTTGGAAGGCTTTGTTCTTAACCACAGTATTGTACTAACCTTTATATATTAATTGTCTTCAGGAACTATTTAATGTAAACCTTTGTAAACGATATCATTTTTAAAATTTATTTTTTGGATTAAAGACTTTTATTGACGTATGGTTATTGTACAATATTATGTAAGTTACGGGTGTACAATGCAATAATTCACAATTTTAGTTATTATAAAGTATTGGCTATATTCCCTGTGTTGTACAGTATGTCCTTGTAGCTTATTTTATACGTAGTAGCTTGTACATCTTAATCTCCTACCCCTATATTGCCTCTCCCCTCCTCCCTCTCCCCCCTAGTTTGTTTTCTGTAAGTCTGTTTCTTTTTTTGTTATATTTACTAGTTGTATTTTTTAGATTCCACATATAAGTGACATCATACAGTATTTGTATTTCTCTGTCTGGCTTATTTCACTTAGCATAATACCCTCCAAGTCCATCTAAGTTGTTTCAAATGGCAGAATTTCATTCTTTTTATGGCTGAGTAGTATTCCATTGTGTGTATATACCACATCTTCTTTATCCATTCATCTGTTGATGGACACTTAGGTTGCTTCCATATCTTGGCAGTTGTAAACAATGCTAATATGAACATTGGGGTACATGTATCTTTTTGAATTAGTGTTTTTGTTTTTTTCGGATATATACCCGGGAGTGGAATTGCTGGGACATATGGTAGTTCTTTTTTTTTTTTTTTTTTAATAATTTTTATTGGCGTATAGTTGATTTACAATGTTGTGTTAGTTTTAGGGTACAGCAAAGTGAATCAGTTATACATATACATATATTCATTCTTTTTTAGGTTCTTTTCCCATATAGGTCATTACAGAGTTTTGAGTAGAGTTCCCTGTGCTATACAGTAGGTCCTTATTAGTTATCTATTTTTTGTATAGTAGTGTGTATATCTCAATCCTAGTCTCCCAATTTATCCCTCTCCCCCATTCTGTTTTTAGTTTTTTTGAGAAACCTCCACACTGTTTTCCACAGCGGCTGCACCAATTTACATTCCCACCAACAGTGCAGGAGGGTTCCCTTTTTTCCACATCCTCGCCAACATTAGTTATTTGTGTTCTTTTTGATGATGGCCATTCTGACAGGTGTGAGGTGATAGCTCATTGTGGTTTTGACTTGCATTGCCCCCATGATTAGCGATATTGAGCATCTTTTCATGTGCCTCTTGGCCATCTCCACGTCCTCTTTGGAGAAATGTCTATTCAGGTCCTCTGCCCATTTTATATTATTTTAAGTGGCAGCAGCATGAACTTCAGCCTTTTCAGTTTATTAAGAATACTAAATGTAGTCGTAATCAACTCTCTACAGTGTGAATTTTATTTTTATGCTTGTATCAATAATACAAGTTTATTGTTTAAAAATCAAATAATATAGAAATATGTAAGGAACTAAAAATCTTCTAAGATTCTGTCATCCTGAGGTAACCCCCACTGACATTTGAGGACCATGTTTCCATACTTTTCTCCATGTATATATTCATATATATTTTACATAAAAGGGATCTTAATTGCCATTTTTATTATGGACTGAACTTTATATTTTTGAATGCTAGAGAGCAGAACACATTGCTTTATGGTGTTAAGGTTTGTTACCAAAGCAGCTATCATTAATTTCTTACTTTAATCTTACCAGGTCAAGGTAGGCAATGAAGTTGCTACTGGAACAGGACCTAATAAAAAGATAGCCAAAAAAAATGCTGCAGAAGCAATGCTGTTACAGCTTGGTTATAAAGCATCCACTAGTCTTCAAGATCAACTTGACAAGGTGAGAGTTAAATTTACATGGACAAGTTCTATCCTGTCAGGGTACAAAAGTGATGAGCAAATTCTGTCCCAGTGTTCCTTGACTCTAAGTACTGTCTTAACTGGTGTTAAAGTAGATGTCAAGTTTTAACTTTTCTAAGGTGGTACTCTATCTTCATCTCTTTAAAGATAGATTCTCCAGGTATAAAATAACAGCTGTTTAGGGTTCAAGATAAAATATTATAATCTTACAATTAGAAAATACTAAAAGTTCATTGTATCATTATACATATCTTATATAATACCAATGTAATAATTTTTAGCTTACTGACTGATGATTTTTGCCTTATGTACACAGTTTTAATTCGTGCTTTTTTAAGAATAGAGGTTGTTAGCCTTTATTTCTGGAATACAGCTGAAAACACTAGAAATAAAGATCCTGATTACACCTTTAGGGCAGGAGCTATATAGGACAGACACTCTATAAACTAATTTTTCTGTTTACTTTAAATTAAGGGTAAACTCAGAGGGTGTTTATTTTCTGCCAAGACTTGTGTTCATGGTCCCCTATTTCTTCTGCAGCAGGTAATGACATCATTAACACCTACCTCTGTTGTAAGAGAAGCTGAGAACCTTGAATTCAGGACTTGGCAGATAAACTAGGCAGGAACCGGCTTCATTTCACTTTGTATTAAATTATCATTTTATCTATACATATGTATAAATTATTTTTATTAAATATTTTATTTGTATGAACATTCACAAAACAGGCATAATAATTATTTCTATCATAAACAATATGCTTTTTTCCATGCCATTTTCTCACATAAGGATTCTGTTTCAGGGATATTTTCAGTTTCTGTAGGAACACCTTTCTGAAGGCTAGAGTAGAAATGATATCATCTGTTAAAAAATATTTAGATATGCTTTTCTTTTTAAGGTACTGTGAATATCTAGGAAGTTATTTTGAGTGATTAAAAATTATTTGTCTGTGTGATATCACTGGAGATTTCAATTCTGTTTTTATAACCTGGCTAATGAATGCTTTTTCTTCTTTTAAAAGTATTTGTAACATGAAACCTAACGTGTTCAAGTTTCTATAGTTCCTATATTGTGTATATGTTGTTTTAACTTAACACATTTATATTGACTTAAAATTGATAGGTGATTTATAAAAATATGTCAAAATAAATCTCATAGACATTTATTTGTAAGTTACGTGAAAATAAAATAGAACAAAAAACTGGCATTAATTTCATTAAGTTGAAAAACGTTTTTTGCTTACCCACTGTGTTATTAGTTCGGGTTCTCCAGAGGAACAGAGCCCAACAGAGAGAGAGAGAGAGAGAGAGAATGTGTGTGCATGTGCGTGTGTGTATCACACAGAGATTTTTTTAAGGAATTGGCCCATGCAATTTTGGAGGCTTGGCTAGTCCAAAATTTGCTGGGGAGGCTGGCAGGCTGGAGACTCAGGAAAGAGCTGCAGAGTCCAGAGGCGATTGGCTAGAGAGCTGCCTCTGGCTCCAGGGAAGGTCAGCCTTTTTCTAGGCAGGACTTCAACTGTCGAGGCCCACCCACATTATAGAGAGCCATGTGCTTTACTCAAAGTTCAGTGATTTAAATGTAAATCTCTTCCAAAAACACCCTCACAGAAACACCCAGAATAACATTTGACCAAATGTCTGAGAACTGTAGCCCAGACAAGTTGACACATAAAATTAACCACCACCCCCACTAAATGCCAAACACTTAAAATTGAAGATAACGGGATGACTGGAATTTTGTCCCTGCACGCAAGAACTGACCAGTAAGTGTTAGGGGTGAGGAGCTTTAATCATATGACAAAAATTATAGTATAATTAAAATTCTAGATATGTGAAGATGAATCTGGAAAGTCAGGAATAGCCGAGACCACTGTTTTTATGTGAAGTAAAAGCTTTTGAATTATTAATTTGAGATTTGAACTTGAAAGTGACATGATCTGGTTTGCTTTCTTCAAAAGACAGTCCTGTAAGTAATGTAGTGAATGGATTTGGGCAGGACAGGACTGAAGGCAGGGAGGCCCGTGCTAGCAGAATTGTTCAGGTGAAAGATGCTGAGAATCTGAACTAAGGCAGTGGTGGTAGAGAGGAGAGGGGAAAGACACCAGCAGTCCTTCTGAGGTGTACATGATGAGATCTCAGTAGCAGATAATGTGCGCGGGGGTACAGGAAGAAGGAGGAGGAAAGAATACCTGCAAAAGGGGCAGTAGAGAATGATTTTAAAAAGGTGGCAGTCGTGTGCTGCAGAGATCGAATAAGAGAAGGAGTGAATATGATGACTTGTCAATAAGAAGATCTTTGGAGAATGTAGCAAAAGCAATTAAAAAAAAAACCCCCTGTAAAAGCAGTTTTTAAAAAGTTGGCTTTTAAAAAAAAATAAGCAAGATATGTACATGATTTTAAAAGAATTTAAATAGCACAAAAGAGTAAACAGTGAAAAAAAAAATGTTAGTCTCACTTCACCCTGAGACCCTCAGTCTCTTGGTCTCTCTTCCTAAAAAGTTATCTCCCACAGTGAGTTAATATTTGTACATTGTGTAGAATAGTGTCTGAAATATAATGAATCTTATGTAAGGATTTGATAAATAAAGATGAAATAAATATCCTTACAGAGATACTCTATGTGTATGCACTAACATACCCCCTTTAAAAATATTCAGATTTATCGAGTTGTGGTTCAGTAAATTTCGACGTGTGTGTGTGTACATGCACTGACCACCATCACAATTAAGATTTATAACATTTCTGTTACCCCAAACAATTCCTTAATGCCCATTTATAGTAAGTGTCTTCCCCTTTCCTCAGCCCCTGCCAAGCACTGGACTGATTTCTGTCTCTATAATTTTGCCTTTTCCAAAATGTTGTATAAATTGAATCGTACATTATGTAGCCTTTAGTGTCTGGCTTCTTTTTTTTTTTTTTAATAAATTTATTTAGTTTATTTATTTATTTTTGGCTGCATTGGGTCTTCATTGCTGTGTGCAGGCTTTCTCTGGTTGTGGCGAGCCCCTTGCTACTCTTTGTTTTGGTGCACGCACTTCTCATTGTGGTGGCTTCTCTTGTTGCAGAGCACGGGCTCTAGGCGTGAGGGCTTCAGTAGTTGTGGCGCGCGGGCTCAGTAGTTGTGGCTCGTGGGCTCTAGAGCGCAGGCTCAGTAGTTGTGGCCCATAGGCTTAGTTACTCTGTGGCATGTGGGATCTTCCTGGACCAAGGATCGAACCCGTGTCCCCTGCAATGGCAGGCAATTCTTAACCACTGCGCCACTAGGGAAGTCCTGTGTCTGGCTTCTTATTGCTGAGATTCCTGCACGTTGTTGCATTTATCATTCATTTGTTCTGTTTTATTGTTTGTCACTATTTTATTCTTCACCAACATTTAGGTTGTTTGTAGTTTGAGGCTATTATAAATAAAGTGGTTACAAACATTCGTGTAAAAATCTTTATCGTACATATTCTCTAGTATATCCTATAGGTACACAGTTAAATAATAAGTACCGTGTCACTTTACAAGAAACTGAAGATGTTTTCCAGAGAGGCTGTACCATTTTGCATTTCCACAAGCAATGTTTGAGATTTCCAGTTACTCCACATCTTTTCCCGCTCTTGTTATTGTCATTTAGCTTTGATCATGCTAGTAGGTGTATAACATTATCTCTTTGGATTTTAATTGCATTTTCCCTAATTAATAATGCTGAGTAGATTATCATGTGTTTATTTACCATTCATATCTCTTCCATGAAGTATTTGTTCAAAATTTTTGTCTTTTAAAAAACTGGATGTTTTGCTTCCTTATTATTGGGTTGTAAAAGTTCTTTATATATTTTGTGTGCCAGTCCTCTATCAGATGAAGGACTCCCCTCTCCTCCCTTCCTGCCTTCTCTCCTTTTTTTATGTACGTTCAGGCACCACATTTGTTTAAAAGATGAGTGCTTTCTGCATTGAATTCCTTAGCACCTTTGTTGAAAATCAATTGACCACATATGTATGGGTCTGTTTCTAGAGTCTCTATTCTGTTCCATTAATCTGTACGTCTGTTCTTTAGCTATTACAACTGTATATAGAGTGTAGCTTTTGTGCTACGGTTTCAAATCAGATAAAGAACTCCATCTTTGTTCTGCTTTTTAAAAATCTTTTTGGCTAATCTAGGGTCTTTGCATTTTCATAATAAACTGTAGAGTCAATTTCTACCAAAAAATATCCAGTTGGGATTTTTCTTTGGGGTTGTGTTGACTATATAGATCAGTTTTGCATAAACTGATACCTTAAGAATATTGAGTCTTCCAGTGCATGAACAAGAACTAGCTCCCTGTTTATTTAGGTTTTTGGAAATAGATCGCAGCAGTGTTTTGTACTTTTTCATAGAAATATCTTGTACATTTTTAATGTTTATCCCTAAGCGTTTCATGTTTGTGGATGCTATTGTTAATGGTATTGGTTTTTAATTTCCAATTCTTCTTTTCTAGCATATAGAAATACAGTTGTCTTTTATATATTGACCTTGTATCCTGTGACCTTGCTAAAATGACTTATTAGTTAGATTAGCTTATTTTGTAGATTTTTTTGTGATTTTCTGCATCGATGATGTGTCGTCTGTGAATAAAGACAGTTTTTTTCCCTTTCTAATCTGTATGTTTTTTATTTATTTGTCTTGCTTTATTGCCCTGAGTAGAACATCCAGAACAGTGTTGAATAGAAGCGATTGATTGTTGAATAGGAAAGCAGATATCTTTACCTTGTTTCTGATCCTACGAGGAGATCATTGTCTTTCACCATTATATACTGTGATGCTTGTAGGCTTTTTTTTTTTTTTTTTTTTTTTTTTTTTTTTTGCGGTACGCGGGCTTCTCACTGTTGTGGCCTCTCCCGTTGCGGAGCATAGGCTCAGCGGCCATGGCTCACGGGCCCAGCCGCTCCGCGGCATGTGGGATCATCCCAGACTGGGGCATGAACCCGTGTCCCCTGCATCGGCAGGCGGACTCTCA